TCTTCGGGCGCTGCGGCGGCGGCCCGGAGGCGCGGGGCGCGGGCGCCGGCGGCGGGCCATGCCTGGGGCCGGGGCCCGCTCAGAGGAGGGCGGCGGAGGTGAGGGACCGGCGCCGGGAGCCGGCCCGGAGGCCGGGGCGGTTGCGGGGCGGGAGCCCTCGCGGCTGTGCGGCTACCTGCAGAAGCTCTCGGGCAAGGGCCCGCTGCGCGGCTACCGCAGCCGCTGGTTCGTGTTTGACTCGCGCCGCTGCTACCTCTACTACTTCAAGAGCCCGCAGGACGCTCTGCCGCTCGGCCACCTGGACATCGCCGATGCCTGCTTCAGCTACCAGGACCGCGATGAGGCTGCGGAGCCGGGAGCCGATCCTCCCACGCACTTCCAGGTGCACAGCGCTGGTGCAGTCACGGTGCTCAAGGTGGGAAGATCGCGCCCCGGAGTCCACTCGTGTCCCGCCTGCAGACTTTCCCTTCCACCTTCCTTCCTTGCCCCAAAGGCCTCCTCTTATCCTGCCCAAGCCTCCCTTCGCTACTGCCCACTCTGATTCCTTCCTCATTCTTACCTTTGCCCTTTACCTGTGCTGGGGCAGGGTTGAGGGTTACTCAGTCTGATCTTTGACACTTTGACCCGTAATCTCCCAATATGCCTTCCCTCGGTCCCTTCTCGTGTCCACTCTCGCCATCCCTGGGATGCTCTGGGAGTCCCTCCCACAGTTGAAGGCTTCCATCCTCCACCCCTGCCTTTACAACTCTGCCTGTGTGGCCCTTTGAGTGACCTCTCTGTGCTTCAGATACCTGCTCTGTAAAGTGGGGACAGCAGTAATAGCTATTTCGTAGGGATACTTTGATTAAGTGATTTCCAGTCTCAAGTGCTCAGCGAATGTGGTGTGTTTGATGCTATAGCCAGAGGCAAGTGATGGCAGGACCCCTGGAGATAATTTACCACAGCCCCCTCCAGAGAGGTCGGGATGCTCCAGCTGTGCTCACTCTGGCTGTGCCTGTTTTTTGATTCTTGGGAAAGGTGGGAGGGGTTGCTTCAGCTTATGGGAGGCTTGCTTCTGCTTCCCCAGAGAGATTGGGTATTAGAGGCTTGGCAGTAGTTAGCAGTCCTGGGGCAGCTTTTACTGATGCTGGGAGTACCAGATGCCCGGACCTTGACGTCTCCTAGGAGTTGTCCTGTTTAGAGTCACAGGGTTCTGGGCCCTGGCCTGGAGCTGGGCTGCCTCTCACTCTGGGCCTTGCTCCCTGCTCTGGTTCCCTGAGTCTCCACCCTCTCTCTCTTTCTGGCTTCCCTTCCGTATTGCAAGCTGGGCTTTCTCCAGAGCCACAGGGCTGGGCTTGAAGCAGCAGCTCTCTCAAAGCTGGCCAAGTAGAGAGCAGAGTGGCCTTGTGAGCATGCAACTGTTCCCGAGATCTGCAGAATGCACAGCAGCTGGAGCTGTTCCCTGAAGCCATTTCTTGGAGCTTTGTCCACTCAGCAAAGTCTCATTCCAGGGGGGAGGAAAGGGGTTGTCTCTTGGGACTCCCTCTCCCCTCTCTGAGTAGAGCCATGAAATGTTTCTGTAAAGGAAGCCAAGCAGTGTGGCAGTTCAACTTGAGGTAACTTAGTGTTTGTGTAAACTTGGGACTGACTCCAGTGTGTCCACAGGGAGTTTTGTCAGAGGCAGATGCTTGTCGTCTGTGTACATGTCGACACTGGTGAATTTCCGGTGGAATTGCTTGTTAAAAAAGAAAACTGAGCTTCCTGTTTCAGATTTTTTTCAGATAACTTTAGAACCCTCTCACTACCAGTTCTTTCATGTTTAAAACAGTGTCTGCATAGGTGGAGTTACAGTGCTTACTTAGTGTTAGGGGTATGGCTTTAGACTTGGATGGATTTGAACTTGCAGCCTGAGTCATCGTCATGTGTATTGGACCATTTTATCACTTCTCAGTCTAGTTCCTGCTTTGGTCTAATGTGAATTTTGCCTTCCTGCTGGAGCGGCTGTGAGAGCACTAGAAATCATGGAACATGGATAACACGTTGTAAGCACCACCTGGCAGAGATAAAACATCAGGCACTGTCATTGGCCAAATATGTGCTACCATCATTGTAGTCATAAAATGGAGTGTTATGGGTAGTGGACCTAGGGAATTAGAGTTGTGTCACTCTGTGTGCCTGTCACAGATGTAGAATTGAGCAAGAAATAAGAACTTACAGAATGAGGCCTTTTATGTGATGATTAAGAAGTTTGTATGAAATATCACACACCATGAGGATCTATGCTGTGCCCTTCCAGGAGTTGGGAAGCTATGTCAGAGTGACAAGCCCCAGTTTGGGGTGGTAGATGACCCCAGTAGGAAGATAAGCTTGTGGAAGAGGATAGATATCCTGGCGTTTCTACTTTTGTTCTGCAATGCTTTTCATCTTAGACTGGGTCATAGCTGTACCCAGGTTTGTTGTGTTGTTCTGCTTACCTTTTTGTAGCCCCGGCTGGCCTTTAACTCATAACCTCTGGCTCCTGAGAGCCGAGATTAACGGTGTGTGCCATCACACCCAGCTTAGATTTAAACTTTTTTTGTTGTTGTTTTTATTTTATTTTATTTTTGAGACAGGGTTTCTCTATGTAGCCTTGGCTATCCTGGAACTCACTCTGTAGGCCTAGCTGACCTGGAACTTGCAGAGATCCACCTGCCTCTGCCTCCTGAGTACTGGTAGTAAAATCGTGCACCACCACTGCCCAGCTAAACATTTAATTTTTTTTTTTAATTGTACACATATGAGTGTATGTATATATACCTGGTTCCTGCAGGAGTCAGGGAGGATACCTGAAAACTGGAGTTACTTATGGTTGTGCGCTGCCGCATGGGTGCTGGGAACCAAACCTGGGTCCGCTATAAGAGCAAGTGCTCTTGACGTATTAGCCATCTCACTGGCCCCTGAGACAGTTTTGTTTTGCCTTTTTAAAGGGTGAGGGCACATTCGAATATGGGTTACTGAGCCACCTCGTTCTCATTAAGAATTTCTCACAGCCGTCATGAATATTCATGCAGAACTTTTTTTTAACTTATTTTTAATTTATGCCCACATTTATGTAAGTGTGCTCTGTGTACTGTGCCCATGAAGAATTAATCAGATCTCCTGGAAACAGAGTTACAGATCATTGTAAAGCACCAGGTAGTTGCTAGGAACTGAACCCAGATCCTCTGCAAGAGCAACAAGTGCTCCTGCCTTCTTGCGGGACAGTTTTATATGTAAAATCAGAGAAAGTGACAGGATATCTGAGTGTTGGCTTGATAGAAATGGTGGGAATAGAAAAGGACGAACCTTTCCAAAAGAAAAGAACAGCTGAGATGTAAGTCAGGGTGGTTTTGTTTTTTAGGTGAATTTTAAGAGGCTGAGAAGGTGGGTAAAAGTGCTTAGGAGGGCCTGAGTTTGATCCCCAGTACACAAGGAAAAGCTGGAGATGGTGTTAACATACCTATAATCCAGCTGGAGAGAGCCAGGTGGGTCCCTGGAGCACCGTGGCTAGCCAGTCTAGTCCACTGGTGAGCTCCAGGAGCAGTGAGAGCCTGTCTCAAAACATGAGAGTGACTGAGAACACACCAACATTGTGTGTATCTCTCTTATACACACAAGGAGAACTTCAGGGCACAGCAATTCCTTGTGAGTTGCTGGAGTAAAAGCATCACAGTGGAAAAGCAGGAAAATAGCAGTCATCTTCCTTCCATGTGATCTGATTCCCGTGAGCATGGATGCTTCACACGAGCGCTGCTTGCCCACTGGGGAAAACCTGGTTTTCAAGGAGCTGGTAAGGACTTATCTCTGCTTCAATTCAAGTATATATATAACTGCAGATGCCATTTCTCCTGAAAAAAAGATGGGTTAGAAAGAGAAGAAAATCAGTGATTTGCTTACTGTGTTATCATATGTTTCTTATTTTAATAGTCTTTCAGCCTTCTCGGAAGAAGCTGTGGCTTTGTTGGACTTTTTCATAATGCCTTACTGCGTAAGTCTTAATGAAAGCTGAGACTGGAATTTCTTGGTAAACTCCTCTATTCTTAAAGTCAGGGATCTGATCCAGAGCCCTATTTTACAGATGAGGGAAAAGAGGCCAGAGCAGGGGCTGGGGTTTGCCTGAGATCACGAGGCTAGACTCAGACCGTCTGAAAACAGTTTCTGGGAACAGGGAGTGTCCCAGTTGTATTATCTGCTTTGGCAAATCTCTCTCTCCAGACTTTGGGTACTGGATTGTTTAGTTTTGGATTGGGTAAAGTGTAGTGGCATTTCTGCCTTCACTGCCTTTTGGACGGTCCTTTTAATGCAGTAAGGACCTGGAACATGGTCTTGCCTGATTCTGCTACATGGATACACAGTAGTTTTGAGTAGAAATTGCTGCAAAGGCCTAGAAGAGACAGATGTTTCCTGTGTGTTGTTTACAGGGTGCTAGGGTCTTCTTTCCCAACTTTCCTGAGCCCAGACGCATAGAGGTATTTCTGGATTGAGTTGGTACTTTGGGATAAAAAGCATGTGACTGAATGTGGGAAAAGTTTGGACGACCCTGCCCTGGCTGATCTCTGCAGTTCCTTGGAGCGAGATACATCATCAGACTGGCCACCCTCTTCTTCCTTTCTCATAGGCATTTGGTGCTCACATGGACATGTGTGTGTTGCTTGTTGGTTTCCAAACCACACGTAACTGAACAATTATGCATCCCTATTCTTAACCCCACTTTGTGGGAAAAGTGCCCATTCCCTCGTGTTGAACAGCTCTCAGCTTAATGATAAACATTTGTTGGTGTGGATAATCATAGTGTGCTCAACTCAGAATAGATGTGGTAAACCAGCCCTCCTTGCTGAATGGTTCTGCTAAGCTGTTGTGCACTCAGGTATCTTGTAGGGTCTTGAAGCATTATTTAAATCTTAGGTGTGGGAACTTGGCTTTTCACAGATTTGTTATGGTTTCCCAGGTAGCCAGTTTCTTAAGGCAAGTATTCCTGCTCAAGTTTCTGATATAATGGCTCTGTCTCCCAGTGCCTCTTACATACTCCTTGTTGTGGAGTGTCTCTACCATACAACATCTAGTCTAGCTCTCTGCGGACTTCTCACAACAAAACCAGCATAAAAGTATGTGTGTTAAAGACAGTGAATATTCAGTATCTTTTTCCAAGTTTATATGTTGAAGCTTGAAGCCCTGACTCAAGAGGGCCTTCATGAATGAGATTAAGTTTCATATAAAGAGAGTCCAGAGAGATTATTTGCCTTACAGGGCAGAGCATAAAATTGTCCTTCCTCAAACATTTAATGAGGACTGTTTGTGTGTTAGACTCAGGCAGTGCCAGATCACAGATTCACAGGTCTTTGCCAGGGACTGAATTGGCCAGCGTATTGATTTTGAATGTTTTGGCATTCAGAACTGTGAAGAATAAATTTTTGTTTA